CACTCGCGCCGCGGACATGCCGTATTTAAACGACGTCGCCGCGCCGCCTGGGCCGTGCGTGATGACGTAACCAAGGCGGGTGGGCGGGGCCTGTGCGACGTGAAAGAGCCGCTCCCCCCGCCCCCCACAGCCGGTTGTCAGTGTGGTTCCGGGGACTGGGCAGAGTCTGTGGACCAAGAGTGGCGCCTTGGCCTAGGCAGGCCTGGCCCTTGCCTGGAAGGGGTGTGACACGTTGGAAAGAAGGTGGCAGCAACAAGTGCAGTGCTGGAAAGACCCCCAGAGACTTGGTTGTGACCTTACCTGTGAGGGGGAGGTGCTGTTCCTAACGCGCACTTCCTAGAGTTACGGAATGGAGTCTGCAGAACCGAGGTGAAACCCTACTCTGCACAGGCTCAGGACGTCCTAGCGCACAGGGGGGCCTCATCAAGGGCTGCCTCACTCCCTTCTGTCTACTCCTGTCCCGTTTTACATGTCATTTGCTACCAGTAGCCAGATGGGTTCTCTCACTCGTTTTGCTCTTCATCATGAGAAGGTTTGCTGAGCACTCATACTTTGTGCCTGGTGTTGAGCGCACGTAGAACTACTACCGAATACCGTTTTTTTCCGGCGCTTTTGGTCTTTGGGAACCGAAGACATTTACGACAAATAAAATGAAATAGATGGGACCTGCAGATGGCGTAATGGTTACGTCGCTGGACTCCCACGTAGTCAACTACAGTTCGAGTCCCAGACACGGTGGCTTAAACTCACCCCAGGTGCATGTCCATACGTGCCCAAGATCTAGAGAGGAGAGTGGAGGAGAAGGGATTCCGGTGTGATCATCCCCCTTGGGGGGTTATTTCTCGCTTTCTATCTCTCTGGCAAGTGCACGTGTCCTATAAGAAAAATCTCTCTAAAATAAAAATAAATAAAATGAAATAGAAAGTGATAAACTACGTAAGAGAGGTATATAGAAAAGACCCAGTTCAGAGAGGGAGAGAAATGCTGCCATGTGGGACAAAAGCAGCTTTGTATAACTGAAGACTTTTATTGAGTACTTATGTCAGTTCCCAGGTTGGATGCTGGCCTGGTGGGCTCTTCTGAAGAATTTGGGTGTGTGGAATAATAGGAAAAGACATTGCTATGGTTGAATGTGTTGG